CTTTCTTTCTTTCTTTTTTTTTTTTTTAAATTTTTAATCTATACTTACATGAAGAATACTATGTTTACTATGCTCTCCCCTATATCAGGTCCCCCCTAACAACCACATTACGGTTACTGTCCATCAGCTTAGCAAAATGTTGTAGAGTCACTACTTGTCCTCTCTGTGTTGTGCAGCCCACCCTCCCCTTTCTCCCTCCCCCCCATGCATGCTAATCTTAATACCCCCCTTCTTCTTCCCTGTGGAGGTTGTTTTTTAATCAATATAGTTCTGAGTCAATTCTATAAGGATTCCCACTGAGTCTTAAACAATGACAACATCACTAAAACAGGGGCTTCATTCTCAAATAGACTTATTTGAAGAGGGAAATAGTCACTTGGATTTATAAATTCTGGCATGTTTATTTAAAAAAATAAACGCATGCTATTTTATTACTGAGTCAGGATAATTTTTAACTGCAATACATAAGAAGCTGTAGAAAACAGGCTAGATGTGTTTGGAATGTATTATTTTTGGAAAAGAAAAGAGATTGTTAATACCCAAGAAGACAGAGATGCACACAGACACTGGTCAAATTGTGCTTCTCAAAGTCAGGGGATTTTTTCTGGGTGTGGCAAAGATTTCCTCTCCCTTCTGGCTTGTAGTAACTCCAGCTTTCATGTTGGTAGACAGCTTTGGGGACTGGATAAGGTTTCTTTTTGTGTGGTGTTTGTTTGTTTAAAAAAGAGTGCATTCTGCAGGCCTAAAACTCAAGGGCAAATGTGTGCCTGCCCAGGTGTCTGACTGCCTCCAAACCCTCATCCATGGCACAGTTCCTTGATATAGGCTGCGCTTGAAATCATCTTAAGAACTTTCAAAACTCCCAGTGCCCAGCCCACACTCACTGCAACTACATCAGAAACTCTCGGGAGGGACCCAGGCATAAACATTTCTTAAAGTTCCCCAGGCAGTCCCAGGGGCAACCCAGTTTGAGGCCACTGCAATGACAACTGTCTCTCTGGTGCCCAGATTGTACCAGGATGTTGGGCTATCAAAACTCAGCAGCAGCCAGCATCTACCACAGCCTGGGGGAGGTATCGGGGCTCTGCCGCCAGCCCACGTGATCTGCCTCCATTACAATTCTAGACAACTACTGAAGGAACCAGAGGCAAGGGCAGAATGATGAATATTTCTGTGCCCCCATTCCCTCACCTGTAAAATGGGGATTAAACCATATTGGGGGTCATTGTGAGAACTAGACAAGGCAATGCGTATAAGGCATGTAGGATACTGTCTGGCACATAGCAAGTGCTCCCAAGTCATTCTGAAACCTCAGTATTCCACCCTGAGTTAAGAGAAGAGATCATGGGATGAACTGCGCTTGGTGATAAGAAAGGAATTAGCTATAATTTCCCTTTCTTCTTTCTTCTTTCCAATACGCTTCAACCCAGGGTTTGGGGTGGGGCACAAAAAAACCTATATACCCTGTTCTTGCTGCAAATCAGCTTTTAAAGATTGCCCTTGAGCGCAGAGGGCAGCGTCTCTGGGTGGTGAAGAGGCAGCTGCCTCTGGGAGATGTGCCCTGAGCTCTGGACGTCTCAGGAGCTTTTTCAGTCTCTAGGGGAGGGCCTGAGGGGCTGTGAGGACAGGGAGGACCTCTCTGCCTTCTCGTCCTTACATGTGCAAAAGTGACCATGAGCAGAGTTCAGACAACAGGAAGGAAATGCTCATAACAACAGCTTCCCTTTTTCTGAGAACCATAGATTCTGAATCACAGTAAAAGCCTTGTGATTCAGATTTTATACTGAGATAAGGTCACTTAAACAGTAATCTTTAAGTATTAACAGAAGTCATTTCACTTCTTTCTGAACACATACTTTAACTCTAGCTATTGGCTAACAAACTGTAGGCCACCAAAAAGTGGTTCTATTGAAAAGCGGTTCTATTGACAGAAGATCCGTTCTGCATCCCTGCTGTCTGCCAGGTGCTTAGCGTGCATTATCTGAGGTTAGACTGAGCTCCTGGAAGCACAGTAACGTGCATGGGACCACTCAGCTGGCAAGGGCTGGATTCCAGAGCCCAGGGCTTCCCAGGGCTCTCAAACCTAAAGACACATCAGAATCGTGCGGAGGGCTTATTATACAGATGATTGGGCTCCATTTGCAGACTTTCAGGAAATCTGGGACAGGGCCTAAGAATTTGCATTTCTAACAAGTTCTTGCTGCTTGTGGTTTGGGGACCACAGTTTGAGAACACCTGCTTTATGGCTACCATGTCAATTACATAAACCTCAGTTGTGATGAAAAGGTTAAAAGTAAAGGTTAAAGAGGTTGATTCCCCACTCACCCATACACACACACCTTTGCCAGCACCATTATTGGCCGAGCACATGCCTTCCTCAGAGAGCGCAGGTTTCTGCTTGGTCCAGATCCAATCATTCCTTCCAAAGCATCTGAGGACAGGGGACTGAGGCTTCACTAGCCTCCCATAGTAGGTGACTTGGTTCCCTGAGGGTCTTGCCTTGGGCTTGGGAAGGAAAAGCGCAGGAAAAGGAAGATAAACTGGCCTCACAGTGCAACTAGACGCTCACGACCTCTGCAGCAGACCCTGGCAGCCACTGAAGCTTGATTGCAGTTTGTGGCCATTAACACAACCTGGGCCTCAAATGCCTCAGAAAGTCCTTTCTCTCCTGGTTTCCTAGCAACCTAAACATTAAGGAACAGAGGCAAAAACAGAAGGTTCTAGGAGATCATCCCCTGCGGGCTTCCCCCACCAGGTACTGGAAGGGATTTCTGCAGAACTGGAAGAGTTTCAGCTGCCAGCACGAGTGAGGTCTGCGATCCCAATGCACAGGCTGAACATGAAACCACAAGCTGATGACTGCAGTGCCCCTTCACAATAAAAGCCAGACCGAGGCACAGCTGCAAATGTTGCGGCATAACTGTGAGCTGCTGGCAGGAAGACCAGCTCCAGGTGCAATAACCCCAAGTAAAACCAGTGTTTTGAGCCTTAAGGCTTTGAGAAGTATACGCATTTTTTTAGAAGGGAATGTTTTGAAGTGAATGCCACCTACTCAATAGCAAGAAATGCCATCCCAGTGAAATTTCTAGTCCGTTAGATGATGTTGGAAGATGCGATGTTTGGAGAGAAAGGGAGAGTGTGGGCTCTGGAGTCAGCGCTGCGTTCAAGCTCCAGATCTGCCATTTATCAGCAAAGTGACCTTGGGCATATCACCTAATTCTCACATGCAAATCGCCAGCAAGCCCTTTAGACTGCTACCAAAAAAATGTCCTAAATCTGTCTACTTCTCTCATCCCCATTGCTACCCACCACATGCAAGCTACCATTACCTCTCGTCTGGATTCCTGCAGTGACCTGCCAAAGAGTCCCCTTGCTTCCACTGCCTGCTCAACAGCTAGAATGAGCTCTCTTGTTCCTTCAATTATGGTAAAACAATCATAACATTAAATTTTCCATCTTAACCATTTTTAAGTAGCATTGAGTACATTACATTGTTGTGCAACTAATATCTAGAACTTTTTCATCTTACAAAACTAGAACTCTTTGCCCACTAAACAACTCTCAATTTTCCACTCTCCCCAATTCCTGGCAACCACCATTCTATTTTCTGTTTCTGTGAGCTTGGCTACTTTAGATACCTCATATGAGTGGTATCATAAAGCATTTGTCTTTCTGTGACTGACATATTTCACTTTGTAAAATGTCCTCAAGGTCCATCCACGTTGTAGCAGGTGTCAGAATGTCCTTCCTTTTTAAGGCTGAATAATATTCCATTGCATGTATGCACCGCATTTTGCTTATCCATCCGTCAATAGACATTTGTGTTGTTCCCACCTCTTGGCTGTCGTGAATAATGCTACTGTGAACATGAGCGTGCAAATATCTCTTCAAGACCCTGCTTTTAGTTCCTTTGGGTATGTATCCAGAAGTGGGATCACGAGGTAGTTCTGTTTTTAATTTTCGGAGGAACTGACATACCGTTTTCCATGGTGACTGCACCATCTTACATTCTCACCAAAAGTGCAGAGTGATATTTTAAGTCCTCATTAGTGTTGACATTTTGGTTTGGATATCTATTTGTTGTGTGTGTATGTGGAGAGGAGAGGGAACAGTCTTGTATAATGGGATGTGTTTAGCAGCATCTCTGGCTTCTTCTCACTGGACGCCAGTAGCACCTGTTCCCACAATTGTGACCATCAAAAATGTCCCAGACATTGCCAAATACCCCTTGAAGGACAGGTCACCCCTGGTTGAGGACCACTAATTTGATCATGTCTCTCTGCAGCTAAAACCTGACTAAAGTCTTTCCATTGCACTTAGTAGATAAAATCCAAATTTTAAAATAAAATTCAGTGGATTTTATTCAGATAAAATCCAAATCCTCCCATGGCCATCAAAGCCCTCAAGACCTACCCTGCCCTTCTATGAGACCTTATCTCCTCCCACCTCTCAGGTGCTTACTGGGCCTGACCACAGTGACTATCCTTGGTTCCTCAGACACAGCAGGATTATTCCTGCCCCAGGACCTCTGCACTTACTGTCCCCATTGTCTGGTAACCCAGGTCTCTGCCTCTCACATGCCAACTCCTATGTCACCTCCACAGGGAGGCATCCTGGACCACCCAATCCAAGCAGCCACTTTCCCAAACAACTCAACCACTGTATTTGGAAGCTTTAGACTTTGAAAAAGCTCTATCTACAAGTTTTGGCATTTTTTTAAAAAGATAACGTTGTGGTTGTTTTTTCATTGCCTTTACCACCACCTGCAACTATTTTGTTCATTTTTTTAAAATTTGGCTTATTATCTATAGAATGAAAACATAATTCATCTACCAAATCAGGACATTTTGAGAATGAAGGCCATGCTAAAAATAATAAACTGGCATTAATGATCCCAGGCAAACCGGGGACTTCTCATAGCCCTGGTTATCTGTCTCCTAGACGAGGACGGGAGCTCTGTGAGAGCAGGAACTTGGTCTGTTTGGTTCACTGTTATGTTTCCAGCACCTGCAACGGTATCTGACACATAGTAGATGCTCAGTAAATATTGCTGAACGAATGTCAAAACTTTCTGACCTCGATTACTTCAACTATGACAATGGGTGTGAAAACTGTGACTACGACAGCTCAGGGACTATTGTGAAGAATAAATAACAAATGTGCCATCAGATCCTCAATAAAATACATATTTTCTTCTGTGTGATTTCACAGAAAAGTAAAGTTTTAGAGCTGAAGAGACCTTAATCCCTGGAAGTGGAATCCCAGGACTGAGGTGAGGACCCAGGGCAGTGTTTTCCAATCCTGGCCGAGTAGGAGAATCCCCTGGGGCCTGGTTATAAAACAGCCAGTGCCCAAGTGCCCAAGCCCCCTCCACGACAAGTGAGATGAAAGCTCTGGGGCTAAGGCTTAGGCGGATGGATGGTTTTTAAAGTTTCTTGGGCAATTCTGACGCACAGAGAGGGCTAAGGCCCTGTATCAGGTTAAACCCACTTGTTTCAGAGGCAGAATCAGGCTCAGACAGGAAACCTGCTCACTTAGTTACACAGAACAATGAAAATTAAAACCAGCCCTGTTCTCGGTTCTCTATTTCTGCTGTTCTTGTTGATCACACCTTTCTTCTCTGGTGCAGGACCAACCTGTTTTACTTGTCCTACTCTGTTTACTTTATAAACAGCATGCAGAGCTTTTGACCATGTCTTGTGGGGCTTAGGAAAGGGTTCCTGTACTTAGGGAAACGCTCTTCCCGCCACTTAGAATGTGATCTCCCAGGGGTAGTGAACTGGAGCCGAACTCCAAGGAGAAGCGACGTGTTCCCAGGTTCCCAAGCTGGCCAACAGCCTGGGGTAGCCTTGAGTGTGGTGGCCCCTTCTTAGAAGTGCTTGGAGCCTCAGACAACCCACGTGGAATTCTTCTCTGACCTGCAGTCCACTCTGTAACTTGGATATCTACATGCTCCCAGTCTGACCTGAACAGGAGAATTTAAGGAGGCTACAGTCATTAGTGGAGTTAAGAAATGAACTGGCTGGGCTGCTCTGGGGTCAATTCACTCCTGTGTGTTGTTGGGCTTGTCACAAAAATCTCTTCGTGCCTCACTTTCCTCATGTATAATACTGGAATAGTGAACAGTGGTCATGTCGACTGTGAAGACCAGCGACAGAGAGTGAACACTGACTTGGGCTTCCGATTCTGAGGGGACCGTGAAGAAGGGGGGAGACTTGTGAAGACCAGCAATAATGAATGTCAATTCCTGGTACATAATAGGTGATCAACAAACAGTAGTTATTATTAATCCTTAAGCTTTTGTGGGTGTTCAGTGTTATAATGTGTAAAAATAACTAGTTCATGTTAGACATATAGCAGAGGCTCAATAAATAATACAATGTATTTGAAAGCAGGTTTCCGAGTATCTATGAAGCAATCTCAGAGGTAACACTCTGTGGGGAGCATGACGCAGATCACGCTGCGCCTCTGCTGCCTTTGGACCACATCCTCTGGGGTCGCCTTCCACTCATCAGAAAGAACAGCTGGGCCTCCAACAGACTGAGCTTAAGGGTGATGATAGTAATACCTGCCATGAAAGCTAAGTGTTTTATTAGTTATAGAAAGTGTGAAACTTCAGATACTTTTCAAGCCTTTCCCTAAGTTCCAAATCAGTCAAAAATTGGAATGCAAAGTTGGAAGCAGAGTTGTGTAGCCTTGACTTGTAGATAGTTGTTCTTTTGTGGGATGGTGCTTTCTAGAACACTGAGCTGGGAGGCAAGATGCTGGGGGCCCTCGTCCTGGCGCTATGTGAACTGGTTGTGTGACCTAGGGGCCCTGGTTTTTCACCCGCCAAGTGGGGGGATTGGGCTTGAGTGTAAGTTTATGACTTCCACTTTCACAGACTTCCACGTGGTTGGGCACAGGAGTGCTCTTACTGAAGAAGAAGTCTGGAGTAAGTGAGGTGGGATGGAGGTTGATGCCCCCCCACCCCCCTCCCCACAGAGCCAGAGGAGGGGCCTGCTGCCTGCTGAAAGGTCTGCCCAAGTAAGGATCCTGGAGAACTGAGGGTGGGCTGGTGGTGTGTTGGGTGTTGGGGAGGTATGAGGTTGTCATGGCAGCAAGGGGCTTCAAGGCACCCTGTAAGGGCAAATGCTGAAGACACAGGTCAGTAAGAGGAGCACAGACAGGTAATAATCTACTGATGTAGGGTCTTCGGTGATCTAATAAGAAGCTGCTGGTGAAGGGGTGGGGATAAAAGCCTGACTGAAAGGGTCTCAAATGAGGCTGGAAGGAGAGGAATTACAGACAGTTAGACACACTTTGGAGGAGTTTTACTGTAGATCTAGAAAAGCATTGGTAGGAGTAAAAGAAATAAGATGAGAACATTGACCGTCATACTGTAGTGCTAAAACACGTTAGCCAATATCACCATCCTCTATTTTCTCACCTGATCATCTTCACTTTTCTGAGAGGCCCAGACATCATGCCTTATCCATGTGTAGCATGAGAAAATCAAAGCTGATAAATACGGTGCCTTACTCCAGGATTGCATCTAATTCAATGGTTTATCCATTCGACTTGCACCTGTCTGTTGAGCGCCTGCTGTATACTAGGATATGCAGATCACTGAAGAATGGAGCCGGGAGGCAGGTCTCTTGGTTGGCAGATCCATACTCTTTCCAGCATGGTAAGGGGCAGTCTTAAAATGTTTAAACTGACTTTTGCTGCCAAAATGTGTGACTTACAATCATCAGGGCAGCTTGGTTCCCTGCCCCTTCAAAGAGTTGTCAATCTAGTGGCTGGATACATTTATTTGATCTT